CCGGCCCGGTTTCAACCGGCCCGGTTTCAGCCGGCCCGGTTTCAGCCGACCCGGTTTCAACCGGCCCGGTTTCAGCCGGCCCGGTTTCAGCCGGCCCGGTTTCAGCCGGCCCGGTTTCAGCCGGCCCGGTTTCAACCGGCCCGGTTTCAGCCGGCCCGGTTTCAACCTGCCCTCGCTCTGACGTTTATCTGTGGTTTCTCTCACGCAGTAACTCTAAAAGTGTGGCCCTATAAAATCCATTTTAGTTTATATCCTTTTCTATTTGTGCCTAAATTCTGTTTTAAGTCTTTTGAACAAATGTAGAGGACAAACCTAAATTTAACTTTATGAGAGCCAGTAAACCAAATCAATCAATATTTCCTTGTTTTTACAAAAAGATTATGTTGAGACGTGGCGTTTTGAAAGTCGTTTTTATCTTTTAGATAAGTGGAATAAAGTTTGGGAACTCTTTTTGTGTTTTCCAGAGTCTGGCCGCCTGGGTAAAATCCCGCAGGGCATTGTTGGAATAACAGCTCATAAAAATAGAACGAAATCACATTTTTTATGGGCCTCAGTGAAAAAGCTGAAGGTTGCTGACGTGAAACCACAGAAACACGGTTATCCGTCCCAAAACGATGACAGAAGCTCCAGTTAATCCCAGTAAACAGCCGGCTGCAGTGATGCCCTCTCAGTCGGCTGTAAACTCTCTGTCCTCTGATTATATTCATGTGCAAATAGCAGCCTGATCCATAAACACCGAGCGCCAGCAGAATGAGATGTGCAGGCTGCCGATCAAAGCGTTTGGTAATAATAACCCGTTTTCCCTAAAAAGCTCTAATGACTGTTTTAAACAGCAGCGCAGTAAACACATCCATCACAGCAGCCGCGGTTATTAACGCAGCTCGCCGCGGCGGTTTGATGCTGCATCGTTTCTGCAACATGTAGAGACGGAGAGCGGAGTCACAGTTCATTTGTCTTCTCATTTTTCTCCCTGATTCATCACTCATCATCATCGCAGAAGCTAAACAGCGTCCGGCATCCCGACAGCGGTTTAAAAGCAGCGCTGACAGAAACAAACGGCTGCTCTCCTGATGGATTCTGGTCAAATGACACGCAGGGAAATGACAAAGAAGAAAAAGTTGGGAAAAAGAAACAGTCAGCAGAAAAAACAGAGCTGAAAGAGATGGGCTGTTTTTTTACTGACGTAAAGAGCCATCAGTCTTCAGCTGCTGATGTTCCCATCAAGCAAACATCGATAAGTATGTATGAAGAGGAGAGGGAGAAATCCAGAGGTAGATGAGAGATCGGCAGATAAAACAGCAGCAGCTCCGAAGGCGAAACACAGAAATAATTCATGGAAATATGCTGATTATTTTACACCAAAAACACACAAAATGCTCCTGCTGCGTCTTCACAGGCGAGAAACAATAAAAACTGGAATATCAGTAGATAAGCAAACACCAATCACAGCTGAGCGCTGCGCCAGGAACAGAGGCGACGTCACACTGTGTGTGTTTCTGTGTGTTTGAGTGTCTGTTTCTGTGTGTGTTTGTGTGTGTGTTTCTGTGTGTGTTTGTGTGTGTGTTTCTGTGTGTGTTTGTGTGTCTGTTTCTGTGTGTGTTTGTGTGTGTGTTTCTATGTGTGTTTGTGTGTGTGTTTGTGTGTGTTTGTGTGTGTGTTTCTGTGTTTCTGTGTGTGTTTGTGTGTGTGTTTCTGTGTGTTTGTGTGTGTGTTTCTGTGTGTGTTTGTGTGTGTTTCTGTGTTTCTGTGTGTGTGTTTCTGTGTGTTTGTGTGTGTGTTTCTGTGTGTGTTTGTGTGTGTGTTTGTGTGTGTGTTTGTGTGTGTTTGTGTGTGTGTTTGTGTGTTTCTGTGTGTGTTTCTGTGTTTCTGTGTGTGTTTCTGTGTTTCTGTGTGTGTGTATCGTGTTTTCAGGCTAATAAGTCGCACAACTCAAAAATGTGTCATGAAGGAAAAAACTTTTATAAGCTGCACAAACAGCAAAATTATGAGCAAAACTGGAACTTATAGTCCAGAAAATATAGTATTTACTTCATAGAACAAGTTTCACTTATTCGCCAACAAAACGACGTCATTTTCCGTTTTTCACTCTATTCGTTTGGGTTAGAGTTGGTATCAGTTTCACCTATAAGGAAATATCTCATCTTTTCATACATCTGCATCAAATCAGCAGCTGGAGTTGGAAATGATTCAGCAACGAAGGTCAATTTAAAGAAACATTCACAGATTAGATGAGCCGGTTACATCAGATCAAAGCTTTTAACTCATTAAAACGTTTTTCTAGTCATTTTGAGAATTTCTTCTGCTGATATTATGACTTTATTCTAGTAAATGTCTGAGTTTGGTGCTGACCAGCGTTCAAGGTGTTCAGGGTGACAGGAGCAGATCGTTTCCTTTGCTTTGGTCTCATGATTAAACTGCAGATTTGTCCTCCTAAAAACCTGCAGAACCTTCCGGATGAGCAGGTTGGGAGTGTCAGCGCCGTCTGCCCTGTTTAGTGAACAGGTGAAACTTCTCTGCAGACGAGCTGAGGCCCGGCGGTGCTGCTCTGCCCGGCGGTGCTGCTCTGCCCGGCGGTGCTGCTCTGCCTGGCGGCTGCATGAGTATGAGGGATAATGCAGCCTTGGAGCTGCAGGACTCTGTTCTGTTTGGCTTGTTCAGCTGAATTTTATCTGTTCCTCTGTCCCATAAAACCTTCCTATTGACAGGCAGCCCCCGATCGACCCCTCCGCCCCCCTCCATATCCAGCCCACATTTTTCTTCCCTATGAGTATTAGTTTATTGAATAAGTGGCATCTGTTTTCCTGGCCCCGTCACCGTAAGGCGAGGTATTTCTCACTGACACGCCGCCGTGATTTATACGCCGCTCTGACTCTCCCCACAAAAAATAAAGCTAAGCAAAAAATTTCCAATACATCCTCCGACCCCAACACACACATATAGATCTCATCTTCCTCCATCCATGCTGCACATAATTAACTTGGCAGACGTTATACAAACTCAAACACTTTACGCTTTCTCCACTCCAGTCCACAGACTTCCACACATAAATGTTGAGATGATGAGACAACAAAGATGCTAAGTTACAGCAGGAGAGTCCAGCTTTCTCTGAACAGCTACGGCAACAGTTCAGGTCCAAAAACACCAGAATACAACCAGCAGGTTTCCCTCACGGCATGTCGACTCATTTATTATGATTCCTTCTCTGAGACACAATCGTGCATAAAAACAAGATAATAAACCAGAAACTGTGCTTCAGTTATCATAGTATAAAGAGGAACAAGTTGGGGGTCATCTGACTGAAATAGCATCTCGATTCCTTCCTGAAGTTAAAATGTTAATGTTTTTTAGTATTTTTGAATGAAAAACAAAAGGTTTCATTCAGCAGATCTGACCATTTATTAAAAACAGAAATGATTGCAGGACAAAGTCCTAATCAGAACCAGGTGTTCACTGGCCAGCAGACAAACAGCTGGGAGTTGGAAACTAACGTTATTTACATTCTGCACTTTGGCTGTTTTCTGGTTTCCTGGAATCGTCCGGGGAGTTTGTGACGTGAAGGAAGGAAAAGCATCAGAGCTGAGGATTGATGAGTCACTGAAAGCCACAAACAAAACCTCAATCATAGATGTAAGGCGGACCCGTCTCCTCTTCAGAACCCCTGAAGAATATCTGTGTCCCACTGCTCCCAGTAAAAGCCGCCCAGCATGGAGAGAACCGGCACCACTGGGCCTGTGGAGCTGCAGATCCAAGCAGCTACAGACTCTGGCCATCGGTCAGTCTGCAGAAACAACCTCCTTCCATGTGCGATCTTCTGTCTTTCATGTTCAGATCCCATCGGACATACCAGATCCCAATGGACAGACCAGATCCCATCAGACAGACCAGATCCCATCAGACAGACCGGATCCCAATGAACAGACCAGATCCCAATGAACAGACCAGATCCCATCAGACAGACCAGATCCCAACATTGACACCATTTACGTACAATAGTAAATCCTGCAGAAACAGCTCAGAAGCATCTAAACTAAATGGTTTCCTCAGTCAGAAGCTGAAAACTGAGATCATAAATCGATTCAGCCAGGATGTTTACCACTGCAGTGCCACAACTTTATGTTGCCTACAGAACAACTTAACCAAACAGCCTCAGTAACTAAACAACCAATCAAGTAGTAATAAACCCTTATAGCCCATAATCAGAATGTCACTTTCAATCTTTTACGGCTAACAATCATTTTGGGTTTTTATGGACTTCAGGCCTTGTTCACACAGCAGAACCTGAACGACCCAGTTCCAACAGCAAAAATCTGACTTGTTCCACTTCCACAATGTGGAACTAAATTGGATTTGAATTGGATATTTTTCAGAGCGTCTGCAGTCAGGACGGTCAGGTCACATTTCATCCCACCTTTATGTCGCTGCTGTGAGGCGTAAAAGCGTCAAATCCTGCAGCAGAAGAAGCCAGACGGTGAATCTGGATGTAAACGATGGCTGACAATAATAACGGCGAAATTATGAAAACAATCTGTGTCAGTGAACGCATCACATCCCAACGCCGCCTCTCCAGGTCCGAATCCACATCCGGTCCGACTTCTGGAGCCAACACTAGACTGACGGCCGTTCTGCTAGCAGGGCTTTCGTTTTATCAGCTTCATTCGTCTGATGAGGATCTGATGAGGATTTTAAAATCCATCCAACAGAGTCCTGCTGTGTGACGATTCGCTTTGGGATCGTAAACCGTTCACACAAAATTCTGACTGCTGTCGCATTTAATTAGCAGCAAGAAAATAAAATGTGAATTTAACGCAAAAATGTGAACGTAGTCAAAGATACACACAGACAAACTGTCGATCTCAGAATAAGCATCAAAATGACGAATGAATGTTTCAGAGCCACAATGTTTGACTCTGTAACTAATTAATGTTCTCTATCCTGAACTAAAAGCATCTACAGCTCAGATTAGCGTCACAGTGGGTTAGTGGGATCAGATGACCTCTGACCTGTCGGGGTTCTGCGGACAGACGTGCATCTGGAGCAGGATCCTCTGGGTGAAGGTCTTGAAGCACTGGCCGCACTTCCACAGATGCCAGTCGCTGAACTCGCTGCTCAGCTGGCTGGTGGAGGTCGGGCTCGCCAGAACCCGCTGGTTCTTGGAGCCCAGCTGGCCGAAGCCGGAGTCCGACTGAACTCCGACCCCGACCTTGTCCAGCAGCGAGAAGCTCCGGGAGCAGGGGGAGTGGGGGAAGACCATGGAGCGCAGCAGGGCGGCCGGAGGGGAGGAGGAGGAGGATGAAGACGAGGAGGGCTTTTTGCTGAAGGACTGGAGGGATTCCTGTCTGCTCATGGCCTCCACCACCGTCGCTGGAACGTTTACTGGAAAACACACAGGATGGGCAGAGAGGTCAGCTGAGACCGCAGGACAACGACCCATGATGCAACAGCATGGTGTAAACAACAACATGATGTAAACAACAACATGATGTAAACAACAACATGGTGTAAACAACAACATGATGTAAACAACAACATGATGTAAACAACAACAACATGATGTAAACAACAACATGGTGTAAACAACAACAACATGGTGTAAACAACAGCATGATGTAAACAACAACATGGTGTAAACAACAACAACATGATGTAAACAACAACATGATGTAAACAACAACATGATGTAAACAACAGCATGGTGTAAACAACAACAACATGATGTAAACAACAACATGGTGTAAACAACAACATGATGTAAACAACAACAGCATGATGTAAACAACAACATGGTGTAAACAACAACATGATGTAAACAACAACATGGTGTAAACAACAACATGGTGTAAACAACAACAGCATTGTGTAAACAACAACATGGTGTAAACAACAACATGGTGTAAACAACAACATGGTGTAAACAACAACATGATGTAAACAACAACATGGTGTAAACAACAACATGATGTAAACAACAACAACATGATGTAAACAACAACATGGTGTAAACAACAACATGATGTAAACAACAGCATGGTGTAAACAACAACATGGTGTAAACAACAACAACATGGTGTAAACAACAACATGGTGTAAACAACAACATGATGTAAACAACAACATGGTGTAAACAACAACATGATGTAAACAACAACATGATGTAAACAACAGCATGGTGTAAACAACAACAACATGATGTAAACAACAACATGGTGTAAACAACAACATGATGTAAACAACAACATGATGTAAACAACAGCATGGTGTAAACAACAACAACATGGTGTAAACAACAACAACATGATGTAAACAACAACATGATGTAAACAACAACATGATGTAAACAACAACAACATGATGTAAACAACAACATGGTGTAAACAACAACATGATGTAAACAACAACAACATGATGTAAACAACAACATGATGTAAACAACAACAGCATGATGTAAACAACAACATGGTGTAAACAACAACATGATGTAAACAACAACATGGTGTAAACAACAACATGATGTAAACAACAACATGATGTAAACAACAACAACATGGTGTAAACAACAACAACATGGTGTAAACAACAACATGGTGTAAACAACAACAACATGATGTAAACAACAACATGATGTAAACAACAACATGATGTAAACAACAACATGGTGTAAACAACAACATGATGTAAACAACAGCATGGTGTAAACAACAACAACATGGTGTAAACAACAACATGATGTAAACAACAACATGATGTAAACAACAACATGGTGTAAACAACAACATGATGTAAACAACAACATGGTGTAAACAACAACATGATGTAAACAACAACATGATGTAAACAACAACATGGTGTAAACAACAACAACACGGTGTAGTGTGGGCTGACAAACATTAAACAATCGAGCTTCACTGCTTCACGCTGCAGCAGAAACTGTAACAGCTTTGATCAGGAATCATGAAGCTGCTGCATTTTGAGGTTTCTTTCCACTTCCTGAAACTCTCTCTGGGTTCTCCCATGACGACTCGCCCCTGGCTCCGCCCCCAGACTCATTCTGGCTTTTGTTTTTGGCTGTATTTACCCAGAATGCCTTGTGTCGTAGTCCGCTTCCTGCTTGTGGAGCGATCTCCGGTCCGCTTGGCAAACCGAAACCTAGTTTTGGTTGCATTCACACCTCCCATATGAACCAGACTTCTGAGTGGGAATGAAGTGGACTAAACACACTGCTGTGAACGACTAGGATATCTGGAGTGTTTTCAGGGGAAGGCTGAGTGTTTGTGAGTTTTACATTTACTGCAGTATTAAATTAAAACAGTACAATGAAACGGGATCCGAAGTGTTTAAATGCGGCTGCACTTCCTTCTCTCCGTTTCATCACTCACCAGAAAAATATTTTGTTTTTCACATGTCAGAGTTTGTGAGCTTATAGATTTTGTTCTGGAGAAAACTAGCAGCTAAATCAACATCCAGTGAAAAGCTCAAATGCTTTAAAAGTTTCCTTTTACTGGTTTTGGCCCTCAGGTTTTTAACTGATTCAAACTGAAGGGCTTCTGGTTATTCTTAAAAATTTAAAATGCTAAACAAATCTTTACAAAATGCGCATGTTTGATTTATTTACATGTTGGCGTTTTACTCTCCTAGAAATGTAGCTGCAAATAAATCCAGCACCAAAACATTCAAGTGCAATCAGTGTGAGTTACTACGCTGAACTCAGCCTGAACTTTATTCCCACTGTTTGGTGTAATCATCCTTTGTGCTCTGAGTTTTATCCTCTCCTCCTAATTCTATTTGTCTGGTTCTGTTTTTCTTTGCAGAAAGAAATCTGAACATAAATGCGGCACCATAAATAAATTTTCACAGATAAGAAGTTCTGATGAAGGAAAAAGTGTTGCTGGTGAATCCAACAGTGGAGTAAAATGATAAAACAGAAAACGAGACGTTATATGAAAGCGTGTAAATGAGATCTGGGGTAAAGCAGCTGATGCCAGCTGTCCTCACTCGACCCAGCAGTCAGCTGCTTTGTGTTGTGAGGTCTGACCAACTGACAGGTCTGGACTGCATAAGCCTTCATGGTGTTTGAATCGACATCAGGATGCCTGTTTTTGCTTTGAGTCGCGGCGGATGGTTTTGGTTCTGTAAAACTGGCTTGTTTGTGAAAACGTGGCATGTGGTCTGGCTCCGTCCTCCGACACCAGAAACAGGCTGTGCTTCCCATCATCATTAGTTTGATGACAATGATCCCAAACCTTGACCAATGTTTTCTTTTACTTCTCTAAACTTAAACAGATATTGGTTATGAAGGCTCAAACTGAATGCTGTGGATCATAATGAGTCTCTGGACAAGCTGTTTGTTTTGTGAGCCTGGTGCCGGTTGAGAAGACAACCTGCTGATTTTAGCACTGAAAACCAAGGAAGGTAACATAAGCAGCGGGAAGCTGGAGTTCTCAGTTATGCTACTAATTAGATGTGATGTGTGTGAACGGCTTACAACCCCAAAGCGACCCTAGCAGCGTTTACGGCGGTAATAATGGCCGCCGCCGTCTGCGGATGGATTTTAGAGACTTCAGGGCCGACAGCATCATCACCAAATCAGGACAAGACAAAGAAAGTTAATCAAAAAAAGCAACGGAGCGATGACTGCAGGTTCTGCAGAGAATCTGCCTGGATGTGGAGTCGGACCAAGAACAGCAGTGATTCACTTCGCTGACTCAGATTTATCTTACAAAAACTACAGCGAATCCCTGGCGTCAGCAGGAATTAGGGACAACTATATGTTACCATAAATACTCCTTTAAAAATGCCAATTTCTTGAGTTCAAATTTATCTTAAAATGCATTGAAATGTATTCATGTTGACAAAGAAAGCCATGTACCATCCAGTCATCTTTATCTCGGCTCTTTGGTGTTCAGCCAATCAGTAGTAAATAAAATGACTAACACTCCTGGATTACAGTATTTACAAGGTATTATTGCTCTGAGGAATTTCAGGTTTCCACACTGAATTTTCTTTGGAATGTCTTAGATATGCGCTATAAAAAAATATCTGTGAATTGGTGAATTTCTTATAAATATCTTAGAATTACTTTCTAAGGAAAGATCTACAGTCCACTGTAGCGCAAAGTGAATCATATTTTCTATAAATCACCTCAACTATAAGTTGCATTTTCTGTAGAGAAAAGAGAAAAAGTGGAGAAATAAAAGCTGGGAAGCAAAAAGAGCTTGCAGATAAACATCCTCTCAGTGTTGTATCTCTTCACTCAGAGCATCATAACCATTTTCCATCCTTCATCAGCTCACCTCTGCCATCAGGCCACCAGGCCTCATTGATCCTCTAATAACCTTATGAGGAGATAATTACACCATTTGTAAGTTGGCCGACGGCTCTATCGACGGCCGCGTTTCGCGCCGCTCGCCCTCTCTTAATTCATTTTCCTACAAACGTCGTATTTACAAAAAATGTGAGTCGATATGTTTTGGGTTGTGAATGAAATGCATCATCAGAATGAGAGAATTATGCAGATGCAGTTTGCAACATTGCAGAGTCTGTGATTTCTTCCTCTCTGGATGTGTGTGTGTGTGTGTGTGCGTGCGTGCGTGCGTGTGTGCGCGTGTGTGTGTGTGTGTTCTCCTCCAGATGGGTGTGATGAGAATACCAACAGATTCCTTTCTTCAGGATCAGAGAAAAGTTTTTGAAGCAAGTTTTCCCAGTTGATGCAGAGCAGGAGTCGGGTGGAGCACCACCCTCTGCTCCGGGTGGAGCACCACCCTCTGCTTCCATATCAGATTCAGCCGCATACCAACACCCTTCGTCTCTGTTATGAGAACCATGTGAAGATCCTCCTGGTTCATGTCAGGACTTTCTTTTACGCTCTTAGGTTCAAACATCCATCAACAACAGATTATTGCTCCTCAGAGAAAAACGTTTCCCTCTCAAACCTCTGGGAAATATTTTAAATTAAATCATCAAAGAAAATATTTGTAGCAATAAAAGTTTTAGGAGGTAATTACTCTATAAAACTAATGTCTTTATGAATAACAGAATAAAAACATTCATTTTCAGAGACAAACATGTCAAATACTTGTTAAATATGTCTTCATAGTGTAACCTTTAGCAGCTTTTTTACTGCTAAACCAAATGTTTTTATACTTTAACTTCTGAACTTTATCATGTTTCTTTTAACTGATGCTTATAAAAATATGACTACAATGTGCCAGAGATTTAATCAAAAAGGAAACAACTGCTTTGATTTATTTTAAGTGAAAAATATTGTGATATTATTCATATGATAATTTGTGAAATCTGTGGGAAACTTGCAGGTTTCCTGCCATGAAGAATCCAAATTACCCTGATTAACTGTTTTAATTCAGCTGTTCTAACTGAGC